TAAATGGCGGGGGTGCATTGTGAGTCCTATAAGCTCCCATCACAGTCCATCAGATGCGCCATATGCATCTCGTTGTCGCCTCCCAACATGGATCTGATTGTGATTTCTACTAGTCTTATATTAATAAGTAGTCAGCATGTGGCACATTTGTACTATGTGATGATAGTCTCTAGTCTACTTAGCATTTTTTATATTCTGAGTAGACTTCTCATTGGTATAATATTGTGTCAGCCCTACCAGTAGCTCAGTGGATAGAGCATCGACCTGTGGACTGAAGGGTCCCAGGTTCGATCCCAGTCAAGGGCATGTAGCTTGGTTGCGGCACATCCCCAGTAGGGAGTGTGCAGGAGGCAGCTGATCGATGTTTCCAACTCTCTATCCCTCTCCCTTCACTGTAAAAATCAATAAAATATAATAAAAATAATAATTGTGTCAGTAAGACTGGATTGTAGCCTGGCCATTGTGGCTCAGTGGTTGAGCATCATCCTATGAATCAGGAGGGCACGGTTTGATCCCGGTCAGGGCACATGCCTTGGTTGCAGGCTTGATCCCCAGTGTGGGAGTGCAGGAGCAGCTGATCAGTGTTCTCATCATTGCTGTTTCTCTCCCTCTCCCTCTCCCTCTCTGAAATCAATAATATGTGTGTGTGTGTGTATGTATGTGTGTGTATATATATACACACATATACACATATATATGTATATGTGTATATGTATATATATGTACGTGTGTGTGTACACACACACACACACACACACATACATATATATACACACATACACTAGAAGCCCGGCGCACGAAATTCGTGCACTTGGTTGGGGGCGGGGGGGGACGTCCCTCAGCCCAGATTGGGAGAGTGCAGGCCAGGGGGAGGGACCACGGGAGGGCTCTAGGGCAGCGGTTCTCAACCTGTGGGTCGCGACCCCTTTTGGGGTTGAATGACCCTCTCACAGGGGTCGCCTAAGACCATTGGAAAACACATATATAATTACATATTGTTTTTGTGATTAATCACTATGCGTTAATTATGTTCAATTTGTAACAATGAAATTGGGGGTCACCACAACATGAGGAACTGTATTAAGGATCACGGCATTAGGAAGGTTGAGAAACACTGCTCTAGGCTGTGTGCAGCCCGATTCGCTCAGTCTGGATCAGCCAGACCCTAGCAGCAAGCTAACCTACTGGTCGGAGCATCTGCCCTGGTGGTCAGTGAGCAGTTGCGCGGCCTTAGCATATCATTAGCATATTATGCTTTGATTGGTTGGCTGATTGGACAACCGGACACTTAGCATATTAGGCTTTTATTATATAGGAGATATATATATATACATACACACACACACACACATACATATACATACAAACATACACATACATGCATACACACACACACACACACACACACACACTAGAGGCCCAGTACACAAAAATTTGTGCACTCGGGGGGCGGGGGGGGGTCCCTCAGCCTGGCCTGTGTCTTCTCACAGTCTGGGACCCCTCAGGAGATGTCCACCTGCTGGCTTAGGCCCACTCCCTGGGGGATTGGGCCTAAGCTGGCAGTCAGACATCCCTCTGGCAGCCCGGGAGCCCTCGGGGGATGTCCACTTGCCAGCGGGGAGCAGGCCTAAGCTGCAGTCGGACATCCTTAGCGCTGCTGAGGAGGCAGGAGAGGCTCCCACCACCACCGCTGTACTGGCAGCCGTCAGCCTGGCTTGTGGCTGAGCAGAGCTCCCCCTGTGGGAGTGCACTGACCACCAGGGGGCAGTTCCTGCATTGAGCGTCTGCCCCCTGGTGGTCAGTGTGTGTCATAGTGACCAGTCATTCCCAGTTGTTCTGCTGTTAGGGTCAGTTTGCATATTACCCTTTTATTATATAGGATAGAGGCCTGGTGCATGGGTGGGGGCCGGCTGGTTTGCCCTGAAGGGTGTCCTGGATCAGGATGGGGTTCCCGCTTGGGTGCCTGGCCAGCCTGGGTGAGTGGCTGATGGCTGTTTGCAGGCTGGCCACAGGCCCTTCAGGGTGGGGGTCCCCCCTAGGGTGCCTGGCCAGCCTGGGTGAGGGGCTGATGGCTGTTTGCAGGCTGGCCACAGCCCCCAGCCACCCAAGCTCCCAGTGGAGGCTGGCTGGAAGGAGGTATCTGGGGTTTATTTATTTTCTATAATTGAAACTTTGTTGCCTTGAGCGGAGGCTACAGCTGGCCAGGGCAGGCGGGAAACTTGGCTTCCTCCATCGGCGGGGCAACCAAGCCTCCTGCTTGCTCCAGCTCCATGGCTGCCGGCCGCCATCTTGGTTGGGTTAATTTGCATATAGTCACTCTGGCTGGCGGGCGTGGCTTGTGGACATGGCTTGTGAGTGTAGGGGATGTATGGTCAATTTGCATGTTTCTCTTTTATTAGATAAGAGAGAGAGAGAGGGAGGGAGGGAGGTGAGTAACTTACAATACTTACCGCATACAACACTATATTTTACTCTGTAAACCTTTGGCTCAGCATTTGACCAGCCCTGATTGACAAATTGCAATCTTATGTCTTGCAGATGCTGTTGATGGAGTGATGAATGGTGAATACTACCAGGTACAGAGTACTCTTAATTGTGTTGAATTATAGTGGTCAAGAGTCTTCCTTTCCTGTAATTTGAGTGGACTGATTTAGGAAGGACCCCACTCCCTTGATTTTCCTGGATATATTAATAGCTGGTATGTTACCTGCCAAAGTAGAAGGATTCGAAGAGAAGTGACTTATAGAGCTTGTTTTTTAAAATGTTATTGACCAGGCCCTAGTGTTAACCAGCTTTATTCTCAAGAAATTACCCTTGATGGTGATGATTATGATGATGAAGATGATGGCGGCTGCGGTGAATTTAAACACTCTCTGTGATGTGCTGTTTATACTTATTTAATTCTCACAACAACCTGAGGTACCTGTACTGTTGTTATTCCTGGGTTACAGGTGAATAAATTGAGGCACACAGGTTAAATCAGTAGTCTAAAACAGCAGTCGCCAACCGGTGGTCTACGGACCACTGGTGGTCCACGAGGTCCAAAAGGTTGTCGACCGCTGGTCTAAAGTAACAAAGGCAGTAAGTATGTGGTGGGGCCAGCATTTGAACCTTTTAAACCAAGGGTAAACTAATTTTTACTTTTTCTATAAAGGGCCACATAGTAAAGATACTAAGCTTTGTGAGTTATAAGGTCTGTCAAACTACTCTGTTGCTACAATATGAAAGCATCCATAGACAGTACATAAACAAATGGGCTTAGCTGTGTTTTAGTAAAATTTAATTACAAAACAGGTGGCAGGCCTCCTGATTTGTAGTTTCCGATCCCAGGTTTAGAGATTGGCCTTTAGAGTGAAGTAGAATGGGGTTTAGATCCTGGCTTTATCCTTACTATAGGGATGGGGAACGTCTGGCCAGCAGGCCATATAAGGCCCGAACTGGCCCTGCCAAAGCATTAGGGGCGAGTTAAATGTTTGACCAAATATAGCTGGCTAATTTTTTAAAATATGTTTTTATTTTAGAGTGAGAGGAAGGGAGGGAGAGAGAGAAACGCTGATGGGCTGCCTCGTGTACTCCCTCTATTGGGGATCAGGCTCACAATCTGGGCATGTGCCCTGACTAGGAATGGAACCTGTGACCTCTTGGTGCATGGGGCAATGCTCAACCAACTGAACCACACTGGCCGTGAAAAAAGATAATTTTTAAGTTGATAATTCTCTGTGGCCCGTGAATGATGTTACAAATATCCAAATGGCCTTTGGCAGAAAAAACATTCCCCATCCCTGCTTTACTAGCTATGAATTTGGACCTGTCATTTCTTTGTGCCTCAGTTTAATTCCCAAGCTGAAAAAATGGGAATAAAAACTTGCTTTGCAAGGGTGTTTGGGGAAAGAGCTTTTATGTTCCTGATACATGAAAAATACTAATAAGTTAGTTACTACTAGTACTTTAAATAATTTTTTCCACCTTTGTAGATAGTCTAGTTAGGTTAAACTGGTAATCCCTAGTTCAAGCGGTGAAATAATTCTCTAAAGATTAAGTTCTGTTTGAGTTTTTGTCAGTTTATTAGCTCCCAAATCTAACCCACTATAAAGAGCAGTCTGCGCACGTGCAGGCATGCCTCATGATTGCCTGCCTTTTTGTTTTTTTCCTTGATGTGTAACTATACATTTTCTTTTGGACTCTTCTCAAATTCACTATATTTTGATGAAGATGGTATTAAGTGACCTATTTCCTGCATTGTATAATAGCATTTAGGTCTTAAGGTCTAAGCCTTACTCTACTATGTACTTACCTTTGTTACTTTGAAAATACCACATAATCTCTGTCAGGTCAGGAAACCAAAACTGATAACAGTGTTTCCCAGTAACTCCATTACTCACCTCCCTGACTTTCCTATCTCCCACGCATGTCCCATTTATTAACAGATAGGATAACAACTACTCTGCCTCTTCCTGGGCGGTAAGGATTAAGTGTGGTAATGTTGAAAGCTCCCTATCAGGTTGTGTTATTGCTATTAAGGTCATCCTTCAACATTTTAACCATCTTTAGTGCTGTACATAACCAGGGGTTCTAACTTGGATGAAGTGCATTTCAGGAAGGAGTTTTTGGTACTGATAGAGTACAATTATGTTTTGTGTTAGGAGAGTAATGGTCCAACAGACAGTTACGCAGCTATTTCACAAGTGGATCGATTGCAATCAGAGCCTGAAAGTATCCGTAAATGGAGAGAAGAGCAAATGGAACGCTTGGAAGCCCTTGGTAAGGAATCCCTTTCTGTCTTTGGGTATCTGTTTTCAGTGGAATAGTTGACCTTGACTCTCCTTTTATTCCTTTGTCACTTGCATTAGCCATTATGTCCTTGTCTGGTGTTTGGGACGTTAATCTTTCTAAACCTGAAGGTCACCAGACTACTCATGTGGAGATCCTTAATGACAGGCTATTGTGTAAGGATTAGGGCAGCCCAGAAAGCAGCAAGTAGATCCTCTCCTCTCACGAAGAGCAGAGTGGTGCCAGGGAAGGGAGCCGTGGACTTGGAGTGAGAAGACTGGGTTTAAGGCTCAGCCTTAGCCCTTACCAACTGTGCACACTTTCTTGCACAAACCTTGCAGAATCTGTTTCTTCATCTGAGAGGAGTAAGATCGGTGTTACCAATCCCCCGGGAATTCTGCAATGGTATTTATGAGAGCGCTTTGTAAACTTGAAGTAGCGCTTAAGAGGAAAATGTGAGCTGTTAGAAAACATACAATTTGTTTTTCTTACCCTCATATCCCTGAAAGGTAAGTTTTTACACTTTTATGGGTGAGGAAAGTGAAAAGCATAGGTAGAGTAAGTTTTTTAATCACACAGATAAGAAGTAGAGTCCGAATTTCAGCTTAAGTCTGCCCTGTTTCAGAGTCCATACCCATCCCTTCAGCCCCATTGCATTTAGTATACACCATCTCGTTAGGCAGGCTGAGCCGAAGATCAGCGCCAGCCAGCCTGGCCTAATGTGAAGGGCTCTCTGTGTACATGAAGTGTCAGCTGTTGGGCAAGATCAGGAGAGACTTGGTATCTGTATATTCGGGTTAGAGAGTTATGGCAGAGTGTGGGTATTTTTTTTTTCTCAGCTTTTTATTAAAATTTCCAACAGAATAGTTCAAAGAAGATACGTGTATTGTAAATACACAATCACATACTTTTTCTGGTCCATTTTAAGAGACGGACATCATATACTTCATGCCTAAATATTTTATTGTAAATCTAGAAATATAACATTCTTCTCTATAACCACAGTGTCAGCATTATTTCTTCCTAGACACCACTGAACTCGTAAAAATATGACTCATTTTTCAGGTGGGGTAACTGACACCTAGAAATAGGAAGGGATGTGACCCTGATAACACAGGCAATTAATGTAAAATCTGTTGCCTCTCCAGCCCAATTTATGTGACTCAAAATACTGGGACACTTATGTTTGAACGTTTACAGCACTATCCACTAGTCATTTCTGTGGTGACGGAAATATTCTGTATCTGTGCTGTGCGGTGTGGCAGCCACTAGCCACATGTAGCTATAGAGCACTTTAAATGTGGCTTGTATGACTGAGAAACTGAATTTTAAATTTCATTTAATTTTAATAAACTTAAATAGCCACATGTGGCTAATAGCTACTCTACTGGAGGGTACAGCTTTAGATAGATGAAAATAGGTCTTCATGGTGCCGGCAGCCTCAGCCCTTGCTTATTCTTTGTATAGCTCTTCTTAGTAGGCTTAGAGGCAGGACTTAACTGGTATTGCTACTACTAGATATTTTTCATGTTACAGAACCCAACTTTCTCTTTTCCCAAAGTTTAGCAAAGTTGTCTTGTTCGTGGAGAGTGTTCACTTTAGTGTCTGTGAAAATTGCATTTTCTTCTTCGATTATCAAATTGAACATTTGGGAAATATTCCATGAAGTGTATTGTCTTCTTAACTGAAGATATCTTCCTGAGGGAAGTCAAACATTTGACCTTACATTCTAACTGAATTAAATTGATCCATGAACTAGGTGTTTCTTCATTTTCACCTTTTTTCTTTGCAAGAACTGTGAGAAGGCACAAAATGCTAAGAATAGAGAACCAGTGTCAATGGTATGCAGCTTAGTTACTGGCTGTTGTGAAATAATTTGCTTTTCTGTGAATAGTAATGAGGATGGCCAGAGGAGACAGCTGTCAGTGTGCCCTGCTTTCTAAGGGGACTCTTTATCCCTCCCTCCCTCTTCTCTCTTCCATACTCAGAGATTGTATTATGGCTTGGATAGTTGTCTCAGCAAGCTAAACGTTTAAGAATTCTAAATTCTTATTGCCAGTGTCACTTCATAAATCTGTAAAAGAAGACAATTTAAAGGACTGTTTTATGCAGAACCTACAGTTTGTACAGATGGTAACAGTTTTTTTTTTAAATATATTTTATTGATTTTTTACAGAGAGGAAGGGAGAGAGATAGAGAGCTAGAAACATCGATGAGAGAGAAACATCGATCAGCTGCCTCCTGCACATCTCCTATTGGGGATGTGCCCGCAACCCAGGTACATGCCCTTGACCGGAATCGAACCCGGGACCTTTCAGTCCGCAGGCCGACGCTCTAGCCACTGAGCCAAACCGGTTTCGGCAACAGTTTTTATTTAGACAAAAATTTGAGTAAATTTCCATGATATTTTATTCCTACTATGTAATAACATTTAAAAAGTTATCAGACTACACAGAAAGAAAATACTCCTCAATCAAAAGGTAATTTTTTGGAAGTAATCTCACCAGTCTTGAAAAGGAGACCTTGCATTTTGAAAATAGTATTTTCCAGTTTCTTGCCCCCATGGCACTGGCAACCCTCAGCATCTCCCATTGCATCATAGCACCCTCCATTCCGCATACACTTAGTGACGTGGACAGACATGCACCAGAAGTTTATCTACTTGAGTCATCAGTGGAAAATCTGAGTAAAATAATTATCCTCCGAGCAATAGGTCACCTTCTGATAAGTTAGATAACAGGGCGAAAGTTCTTTTATAATGTGAAACTTGGAGTCTTTAGATGCTGGTAGGCTGATTCTAGCAGTTGCTGCTTTCTGCAGGTTGTTTCTACAAGACATTTTTTTGCAGAGTCCCTAAAATGCCCTCAAATGCTTCATTTCTTCCCTTGAATGGTTGTCATCACCACTGCTTTATACTCTCCCCCTTGAGGATACTAATTACAGGGTGGGCTCTGGCTCTACACTGTCCAAACTGTAGTCTGGACCAGTGGCTACCACCTTCAGTTCCATCGTAAGATTATTTCTTGGCTTGCTTCCCTTTCTGTCCCGCCCTTGGAGGCAGCATAATGAAGTAAGAATATGTGAGCTTTACAGCCAGACCTGGGTTTGAGTCTTGGTTCTGTCACTCACTGTAACCTTTATAAAGATTTCTCACTTTCTGAGCTGTAGTTTTTCTCATTGCTGACTATGAGACTACAGTTTACTTTCTTGGGATTGTTGTAAAGATTAAATGAGAAAGGATGTCCTTAAGAGCATGTTTTCAAGTGAAGTATCTGGGTAACTTGAGGTGTCAACTGCGGCAGTGGCTGTGACACACTGCCTTTTCTCCCACTATCTACTGACATGTGTCTCTTTATTTTAGTTAAATGTTAGGAAAACCCATATTTAAACCCGAAAAACTTCCTGCTGGGTGTGCATTTTCTCTAATTTCTGGAACCTTTGTGAATAACTGCTAATAATGATCCCCAACGCCCTGCAGTTCACTCCACTGGAGTTTCTCTTTAGCTCTGTCACAAACTCACTGTGCAGTCTAAGCAGAGATAAATATTTTGCAGTCCTCCTAACTCGAACATCTATATTCTACTGTTCCCTGGTTCCTAAATCTCTACCTCTGGTAATTTTCCTAATAGCATCCTGCTTCATAGAGGTGCTTCTACCATATTTAGTTAAGAGAGTGCCATCTTGTGTTTTATAGAACAATTAATTGTCAACCTCAGGTGTGGAATATAAATTGTGAGATTTTGTTAAAAGATTATCTAATATGGCCTGGCTGGCATGGCTCAGTGGTTGAGCATCAACCTGTGAACCAGGAGGGCACAGCTCAATTCCTGGTCAGGGCACATGCCTGGGTTGCAGGCTCATTCCCCAGTGTGGGGCGTGCAGGAGGCAGCCGATCAATGGTTCTCTGTCATCGTTGATGTTTCTATCTCTCTCTCCCTCCCCTTTCTTCTCTGAAAGCAAAAATACATTTTTTAAAAAGGGACTATCTAATATGAATAGCCATCCCTGAACTAATATTGGCAGCATTGTTAAAGAATCATCTATAGCCCTGACCAGTGTGCCTCAGTGGTTACAGTGTCGGCCTGCACACCAGAGGGTCGTGGATTGGATTCCTGGCCAGGGGTTTCGATCCCCTTAGGGCATGTGTGGGAGGCAACCAATTGATGTGTCTTTCTCACAGCAATGTTTCTCTCTTTCTCTCTTTCAGTTCCCCTTCCTCCCTCTCAAAAATCACTGGAAAAAATATCCTCCATGAGAATTAACCAAAAAAGAAAAAAAAAAAATCTGTAATTGCTTTTTCCCTAGTTGGTGCCCCCAAAGGCTTGTTTCTATTAAAAGTCAGTATTTCCGCTCTTGTGCCACCCCCCCCCCCCCCCGCCCCTCCTAAAGTCCTAAAGAAAAAACCAAAAACAAACTACCAACTAGTGATAGTGTCAGTGGACTGGGATAAAATGTGGTGAAACACCTTGGATAGAATCGCTGAGCAAGAGCTGGATGTACAAACAGGGAAAAATAGAATTTTTTCTTCTCTCCTGACTATTCTCCCAATATACATTTGCACAGGTTTTGTTTCATTTGTATCATTTTTCCTTTCTTTCAAAGATGCCAACTCTCGGAAGCAAGAAGCAGAGTGGAAAGAAAAAGCAATAAAGGAGCTGGAAGAGTGGTATGCGAGGCAGGATGAGCAGTTACAAAAAACAAAAGCAAACAACAGGTTAGTCCATGGTGCTTCTTGGCACAGCTTGTATTCCAAGATTGAGTCAAATCCATTTCCAAAGCCAGGACAGGTTCTCAGCTGCTAATAACGCTTTTAGTGTGAAATGTGTTCGCAGGTTTTCGAAAAACGCTTGAAATAAAGGTTGCAAGTCTCTTGGTTCATGTGAGCATAATTTAGCTGGTAGCCTTCCCAGTTATAGTGAGTTTAGCTCTTCAACCAAGAGTTTGATTCATATGTACCACCTGTAATGGTACGATACAGCAGAGGAAAAATTATTTCATGGATCAGGTCCATGTATAAAGATGTAACCCTGAAATGAAAGGCCGTTTCATGACTATAATACCAGGATCTTAGTCCGCTGGAAATGATACATTTCATCATGTTGTATCCCCTAACTACAACCCTGCCCTCTGAAAGCTGCTTCACAGAGGAGTCTGTTAGCGGGGAAATGTGATTGGTAATTAGGTAGCCAAAGAAGGTCGTCCAACACAGCGACTTCAGAATTAAGGGTTCTCTGGGTATTTATTTGTGTCTAAAAAAATCTTGAGTTGACTTTTAAAAAAATGCTCTTGAGTCGTCGGAGGAAACATTCTCGTATCCCCACTGACCAGTAGCTGTGTCCTTGATGCTGCATGCCTAGCGTCCATGAGGAATTGGCTCAGAGAGGCAGAGGCAGCGCTGCTCGCCACGGTGTCCGTGGGCTTGCTTTCCCTGCTGGATTGACTTCACTCACTTCAGTATAAAGACAGGTTTGGGGGATAGTTTTAATTTTCAAGGTAAAGAGTCTTAGGCTTCTATCCTCAGAGGCAGAAGTGGGTTTAAGTGCCCATCTCTCTGTCAGCTCTATTATATGGAAATTTGCCAAAAAAGAGGGAGCTGATGGCTTTGCCAGCCAGTGCCATTGTGGGGCAACCCTGGTAGAACAGATGGACTGTTTATGTAGCAGTCTTCAGTGATCTCCTGTTGGCCATCCTTGGTTCTGTCATTTGCCCCTCAGATGCCAGGTTTGAGCCTCTGTCCTGGCCACCTTCCTGTGGCGGATGCATTCTCTGTGCTTACTGGTTCCATTTGAAGTTCTGGGATAAGTGTGGTGGGACTGCTCTCAGGTTGGGGGCTTCTGCTGAGCTTGTGATCGCTTTGAAGTGCTGACAGGCCAGGCCTCTTTATCTTTTCCTTATTCAAGACGGTTTCCCCCAGCTGTGAGTTCACAGCTCTAAAGAGAGATGAGTGGGTGCTTTGTATAGATGCTGTTTACCCTAGTGCGTTGCCTTAGCCTATCAGTCTGCTCTGAAGTATTTGGCAAAACTGGGCTGACCCTCCCTGTTCAGGGTCCCTGAGGCTTAAGCAAGTTGACTTTCAGATTCTCAGACTTAAAATATTATGCTGGGGATAGGTTTCCCATTGCAGAAATTTTTTCAAGCCAGTTTTGCTAAACTGAATCCCTTCTGTCTGTATACAGAATCGGTTGTCCTTGAAGAAACTGATTACACCTGTTTTTAGGAGCTGAGTCTTAAAGGTTTAGTCCATCTGGGCATTGATTTAGGCCTTGGTGTACTTTTCTTTACGTTGAATTTGAGGATGTTGGGTTGGATAGTCTCAGAGATGAATTTCAGGTACCAGAGAGAGGAAGAGAGTTAAACTTACCACTCATTGGAAATGTAGAACTGTTTAGAAATCAGATCACTTGCCTTGTAGAAGCCTTGCAGCACAGACAGGGCTGACCCTCAGTGTGAAAAGCTAGTGCCACACTAGCCACTGTCACCAAGGATCCAGGGATGGTTTTTACACTTCACGCCAATTCTTCAGTGGCTAAGGTGGAAGCCATTGTAGAACCGCTTTGGGGACTTCTTCCAATGGCATACACCCTCCCCTGGAGATTTCGACATTGCTTATGGCTCTCCCTTCCCCCATTTAAGCTCGACTCAAACATTAGAGTCGCATGGGACTAAAGAAGTCTCAATTATCTGTTTAAAGTGACTTATCTTTCTCATTGTCTGTCTACAGGTAAATAGTGAATATTTTGAGGAAAGAAAACGAGGGTGCTCAATTCAAGCATTCTCATTTTTACTGGGTGATTTTTGCAGCAACTGGATGTTTTAAGGGGGACCACAAGGATAAGGCAGGGAAGTTTGAAAGAGGAGACTCAGGGTAGCAAGGGCCTATTTTAATGCAAGTATCTCAGGCTTCCTGCTTGCAGATGCCTCCGTTGAAGCCTTCAGAGCACATCTGTGCCAGGCACCGTGCAGGGGGCAGACAACAGTCAACAGACCTTGTCACAGCATCTCTAGTCTGTCAGTCCTCAGACTGCATCTCCCTCCTTTTATCCTGAGTTGGGGCCTAAATGTCACTGCACAAGAGCCATGAATTAAGGGACAGTACATGGAAAAGAATTCTCTTTTCACAGGAGCCAGAGGAGTTTTTTCCTGTAGAACAACCCCAGACCATGTCCCTTCCTAAACCATAACAAACATTTCCCCTTTTATAGGTAGCTTTGGTACTGACCTAGCTTCACTTTTCTCAAGGCTTATAAAAGTTTGGGGAATCCGTGATGCTCAGTGAGGCAAACATTTTTCCATGCCCTCGTGAGTATCAGCCTCCTCAGATGCCCGAAAGCATTCCCCCTCCCCTCTCCCAGGCTTCCCTGAGCCCCTTCCTGCCTTGCCTGCCTGAGGATTGCTGCTCTGAGGCCCCTCTATCTGGGGGGTGAAGAACAAGCAGGTGGAGGGCCGGCTGTGTTTGTTGTATGAGATTTTCCATTTGTCCTGGATCTGTAATCATGACAGAGCAGTGCTGTCACAGACCAGCTCTTTTGGGGCTAGCTGCAAAGGAGCCAAAGCCTGATATTCAGGCTTTTGTTGTCTTAGTGATGCCTTGACAGGAGTCATTAAACCTTTATTTTCTTCCAGCAGAAGTAAAACACAGTTGAAATTGATTAGGTTTAGTCCTTGTGTAAACTAAAAGGATTATGGGTTTACAAGCTGGCCTACCTTTCCTTTCCCTCACACTTATTTTGTCCATAAACAACTGTTTTCCTACTGACTCACTGCGAGTTACAATCTTGCTGTTATTTTTGCTTTCTTTAAATTTCCACAGAACACTTCTATATATAATCCAAAATGGTAAAGAAGAAAGGGTATGTGTGAGTTTAAAAATAAAAAATCACTAGCATTTCCCTTCAAATAAATATGTGTTTGTTAATAACCAGGCATGATTGTCCTTTAAAAAAAATGTCCCTTCCACGCCTGTGTCCCAAACTGACCTGGCAAAGGACAGGGCAAGGCTCCTTGAGGGAGGTTCCCTGCCCACCCACAGTGGACGAGGTGGGCAGCCTGTCCTCTGTGGTGTCAACTCCTCCACTCAGCATTCTGCCCTTTCCTTTTTGTTTCGGAGCCCTGCCATTCTGATACATTCCTGATGTAAGAGTTAGGAAAGAATTAAGTGCTGGCTTCCGGGCCTCACCTCGTTAAAGCAGTCAAGTCTGGCATGGACTGAACAGGCAGTCAGTCTGTTCAGGGACACAGTAACCCAGAGCCAGACCCTAATCTGCAGTTCTTTCCACCAGACCACTTGCCTCCAGCTGCTTTTTTCTCTAAGGTGGGAATTTTGAAGTGGCCATATGGGTTCCTAAGATACTGGAAATTGATCCCACCCAGCCAGTGTGGGGAAGCAGTAATTGGATAATCCAAGAAAAAACTGACTTTGGGACCTAGCTTGTCCGGTACACCCGGTGATAGTTACTGAGCCTGGCAGGGGGGTGACATGGCTCACACCAGCTGGGAAGTATTAATATGCAGTGAAAAGAGCCAGGCAGCTTTGGTTGGGAGTTCTGCCCGTTGCCTCTTACTGCTGAATAAGTTGCTTCATCTGTAGGCTTCCATTACCTCATCTGTAAAGCGAGGTGAGAACATTTAATATGTCCTAGGTTGCTGAGGTTGAGAACTGAACCAACATAGTGACTGTAAACGGGCTTAGCCCCTAAGTAGGTTCTTAAGAAATGCTTGTTGTGGCTGAGGGAAGGCAAAGGGAGAATCCCCGTGGAGCAGGCCAGCAGGAAACAGTGCCTGCTGGAGTCTCCAGCGCTGGAACCCTTGCTGGGTTAGGATAGAGCCATGGGAACAGCTTTCCCAGAGAAGTTGTGCCTCTATTGTGGATTTGAGATGTTTCTGCTTCTCAATGTTCTCTCTTTTTTCCTGCCTGCTTGCCTGCCTTTTGGATCTCTTGCTGTCTAGGGTGGCAGATGAAGCTTTCTACAAACAACCCTTCGCTGACGTGATTGGTTATGTGTATGTTGCAAAACTAATTCCTTTTCCTTTTTTGATTCTACTTTTCATTTAGAGTTAATGCACCTTTTATGCCACAAGTTGCTTTGCTTTTTAAATTATTTCAAACTGGCACTTCGGGGGCTAATAGGTGATAAGCTGGGGTATGATCCAATGATTGTCTTGCAGAATCATGACTTCCTACAACTCTGATTGCCATTTTTCATATTCGGGGTTTTGGACAGAAGGAAGCTGACTCCCTTTCAAAATGTGGGTCATTTGTGATCTTGTCTGGGAAGACTCTGGGACTGGAGGGCTCTGACCTCTTGCTGCCACCACTACGCCCCTGCCCTGGGTGGGGAGGAGAGGTAGATGTCCTGGTTAGGAACCAGCCGGGGCAGTATTTTCTACACGTGGTTTCTTCGAAGAATGTGGAGTTGGTTGCCTCTCCCTTGGGCAGAGGGGGTTGTCTCTGATGGGGGCCTGTAATGATTTCTCTATGGTCTTATATGTCAGAAATGGTTTAGTTGCCACCTTGTGATGCCCTGTTCCCTCACCCTTGCTCAGAGAGGCCCCAGCTTCAAGGTCAAGGTAGCCAAAGCTGTCTGATACGAGCCACTTTGGCTTTTCTCCCCAAAGAAAATTGCATCTTCTCTGGAAGTTTTTTTTTAGGGGTTCATGTTATCAAAGCAGTATTGTTGAAGACTTGGAAACTGTTCTTGCTGTTTCCTCCTTAAATGTTAGGACTAGATTTTGAGTGAAGAAACATGAAAGTGAAATGGAGGAAGAGAGGAATTTGTGGGGAGGGTGGACAACAGGCTGAGAGGCCTAGAGCCTTGAGATGTTCATCCTGGTAGAAGACAAAACTGGGTTTCCTGGGCCCCCAGATGTATTTGCAACGAGACTTGTGAAATGCTGGACTTACAGGTGGTGTTGGATTTGATTTTTGCACATTCTCTCTGGAGTAGAAATGGAGACTAGAAAGGTTGAATCTGGGTTTGCTGGGCAGCAGGGTGGCCCAGCAAAGCCAGCTGCACGTTCCCAATCATAAATAGAGTGGCAAGGGCATGTCTAGCTTACTGACCATCTGCATTGAGCTCATTCTCATTTTCTATATCTGACCTAAAGTTTCTCTCCTTGTTTCTTTTCTTCTCTTCACCTTTAAGCACAAACATAAGCCATCCTTGCTACAGCCTAGAACAGTTAAGTAAATCTTTCTCACTGCCCCTAACTGTGTGTGCTCTGCAGTTGCAGTCTGTAGTGGCTCTGGCTTCAGCAGTGTTTGCCACGGCCATCCCTGTGAGTGCAACCCTTTGTCCCCACAGACCAGTCATCTCCATTGCTTCTGCTTTGCCCGTGATGCTTGTTGAAGTAGATGAATATAGTGTGTCTTCCCTCTTCTTAACCACTGTCCTTTTGAGCTATAGCTCCCACCAGCAGGTTCCCAAGTGGGGGTGGGCTGACCTTGACTGAAAGAATGTTAGAGCAGCATCCTACCAAAAAGCACCTAACATTGATTGGCTCTCCAGCCCCTGGGTGCCCACCCCTGCCACGTGTGCCCTCGGTGTGGTCCAAGGTACCTGGCTGGAGGGGAAATGGCTGAACTGGAGAATGTCCTAACAAACCCCTTCCAGAATGGCTCTAGTCTCTAATGCCTGCTAGCATGGGAGCTTGTTTTGAATTCCCTCTGATGTACCCTGTTTCTCTCCAGCCTTAGGAATAAATCCAGAAGCTGTAGCGCAATGAGTTGTGGGCTTTTTAGAAGTCTAAATTTACTTGAAACTTAGCACAGCCCAACATAAACTACTGTTCAAGTTCTTGACAGGCCTGCTGCTTTGCTTTTGTTAAAGAAAGCATTGTGTAGCTGGCTAAGGACTTGCTTTTTTAATGCTCTGTATCAGCAGAGACAGACACAGAGAGAGGAGCCCTGAAACCAAACACCTGTATTCCAACATTTTACACAGCAGTCCAGGCACCTTGTGCCTAGGAGAGCTGGCCACGTGTCTGCTCTCGACTCTGACCTGGGCCAAGGGCTGTGATTCCTTAGAAAACCAGAATGCCATTAAGTCAGGCATGAAGATGCAGTCGCTTCTAGAACAAGGCAGCCACCAGGCAGCTCACGGGATTCTACATTAAACCAACATATTTTGTTGTTGCTTCCAGGGCAGCAGAAGAAGCCTTTGTAAATGACATTGACGAGTCATCCCCAGGCACTGAGTGGGAACGGGTGGCCCGGCTGTGTGACTTTAACCCTAAGTCCAGCAAGCAGGCCAAAGACGTCTCCCGCATGCGCTCTGTCCTCATCTCCCTCAAGCAGGCCCCCCTGGTGCACTGAAGAGCCACGCTGTGAAACACTACGTCTGCAATATCTTAATCCTACTCAGTGAAGCTCTTCACCTAATTGGATTAATCATGTTGAGTTCTTTTGGACCAAACCTTTTGTCTTTAGAGTTACTCATTGTTTGTGATTGCATGTTTCTTCCTTCAACTGTGTTCTCCCGGGCAGAGAGGAGGGGGAGGTGGCAGCAGGGGGAGGGAAGCCTCCCACGGTAGCATCAACCTGTGCTTTTTGTGCATTATTCTGAGAATAAATTTGTTTTGAACAATAAACATGTAGCTTCATTATTGATCTCAAGATGTGCTGCAGTTTGGAGTGAGGTTCAAAGGAATGAAGAATTTACTTTTGTCATTTCTAAGGCCGAGGCAGCACAGTCATTGGGCCTCCACCCCTGCTTTCAACTAAAATAGCTCCAAGTTTCTATTGTCTTTGAAGTTTCCATTTGGAAAGGGAGTTCCCAGGCTAAAAGTTAACCCCTCACCAACCTATATATTTTCTCCCAGATGGCTCTTGTCCATCCCTTACTTTAGGGTCTTGGATGGTATATTTCAGTGGCGGCGTCTCTGGGGGTACATAGACTATAGTGAGACCTTACTCCTTTGGCTCCAGCCAGTAAACCTGAGTCAGGGCGGCATTAGTGTGTGACTAGCCCCATTACTCTGGATCCCCGTAGCACTTTGCTCATATTCATATCTCTGGTGTCAAATATTTATCTAATTGCTGGCTAATACAGTAGACACATGTGGCTGTTTGAATTAGAGTTAATTAAAATTAAAAACACATTCTAGTCCTGGTATATTTCATATGCTCAGGGGCACATGTGGTTAGGTATTATCCGTATGGCACAGCACAGATTATAGAATATTTCCAGCACAGAAAGTTCTAGACCACCCTGCTCAACACAACAGATGCTTCTAGGAGGCTGTGTTCTATTCAGGCATCAACACATTTGTTATGTGCCCTCAGAATCGGTCACATTGGTGATGGTTCAAGTAACTAATAAAGCCATATTACCGAAATCTGCTTATTTACCTGATATTTCCAAGTTGGAAATTGACATAAACTCCTGTTGATACCACACTCTGGAGGGGGTAGTCTTGCCATTGCCAAGAAGGAAAGTCCACCAACACTCCCACTGTAGTTATGTCTGAGGGGAGAGGAGCCGCAATTATTTTTCTGCCTACCTCCCCTTTCCAAGCTTCTTAGCTGGGCATTCTTGATCTTGCCCACCTGGCCTCTTTACTCATTTCTTCCCATTAGCCACCCTGGATTGCAATCGAGCAATCACTCACTGTCGTTTACCATTTGTTACTTCTGGGCCTTGTTAATGCCATTCAACATGTCAAAATCCAGTTTAAGAATTAGCTTAAAGGACACCTCTACAATGCCTTCCCTTACTCCTTCCCCTGAGCACCCATGGCCCTCTATGCCCACAGCTTACCTTTTGGTGTTATTCTGATGGTGCCATCTGGACTGGTCTTGCCTTCCATACCAAATGGGCTTCTTAAGGTGAATGTGACAGTTGTAAAATGTCAGTAAAGTCTCTGACATCCTCCAGATCAAGAGGTGACTGGATAATATGACAAAAGTAATGCCATGTGACTTCCAAGTCTAGGTCATAACAGGCAATGCAGCTTGCCAGCTGATTTGTTGGAACACAAGCTCTGGTGGTCCTTGAGCATCACCCTGAGGCTGACATGCTGTGAGGAAGCCCAAACCAACCTACATGGAGAGGCCCTGAAACTACAAGCAGAGAGAGGTGCCTGGCCAGTCGCTAGTATTCCAGCCTCCTGCTATTCCAGCTCCAGGTACTAACTGGAAGTACATCAGACACCCTGCATTAGAATTGCCAACGAGAGCCTTTCCCAAATTCCTGACCCATAGAAACCATGACAGAGTGATTATTGTTTAAGCCTCTTAAGTTTTAAGGTGGCTTGTGACACAGCAATCAATAGTAAGTTGGGATTGCTTCTAAAGTCTACATTACCCACATAGGGCTACATAAAAAGGAGGAAGTTGTTCCCATGGTCTCATTGAGTGTTCAACATTTAGTTTCAAACCGCTTTCTTGGGGCCACTTTGCTTTTTATGTCAAATTTTAAATGTTATTCAACATAGTACTGAAAAGTCATAGCCAGAACAATTAGGCAAGAAAAAGAAAAGGCATCATCCAAATTGGAAAGGAAAAACTACAACTGTCACTATTTGTAAATGACATGATATATATAGAAAACCCTAAAGCAGCGGTTCTCAACCTGTGGGTCGAGAACCCTTTGGGGGTCGAACAACCCTTTCACAGGGGTCGCCTAAATACATCCTGCATATCAGATATTTACATTACGATTCATAACAGTAGCAAAATTACAGTTATGAAGTAGCAACAAAAATAATTTTATGGTTGGGGGTCACCACAACATGAGGAACTGTATTAACCCTTTGCACTCCGAACCATTCTGGACATTGGCTACCAGCTACTCGACGCTACTTTGCGGCGGAAACGTGCATTTACAGACCCTCATATTATTTAGTATAATTTTGGAACCAAGTAACGTATTATAATGATATTGGACTTATATGAATTGGGTGACATCGAGGAATGTATATTTGCAAAAAAAATATTTTATTGTTTATAATTTTGTACAGTATGATAAGTTTTGTAACACTCCCCAATATGCATTGCAGGCTGATTAGTGCATGTTTGACAGTAATAAGTGGTTTGACGCCTGCCACCAGGTGTTTTCCTGTTTGAACACACAATGCAGTCCCGTTTTCTTTGTCCCACATCGGGAATATGTAGTTTATTGTTTAATCCGACACAAAACCCGCTGACATTTCTTGTATATATCTTAGTAATTTTACGATATTTTGATTTAATTTCTTGTTCCATTTCAAGATAAAACTTCAGGGAAACATGCATGTCTCAAAAAGTTGCGTTGAAATAACTCAATTCCCCGTAATCACTAATAAACTGCAATGTCCCCTGAGAGGGGACATCCGAGTGATATGCTAGAATTCCGATGTCCCCTGAGAGGGGACAGCGGAGTGCAAAGGGCTAAAGGGTCGTGGCATTAGGAAGGTTGAGAACCACTGCCCTAAAGAGTCCACCAAAAAATTGTTAGAATAAATGAATTCAGGAAAATTGTAGGATACAAAATCAATGTATAGAAATTTGTTTCTATATACTAATAAGTTATCAGAGAAATTAAGAAAACAATCCCATTTACAACAATATTAAAAAGAAAATACCGCCCTAACCGGTTTGGCTCAGTGGATAGAGCGTCGGCCTGTGGACTCAAGGATCCTGGGTTCGATTCCAGCCAAGGGCATGTACCTTGGTTGCGGGCACATCCCCAGTAGGGAGTGTGCAGGAGGCAGCTGATCGACGTTTCTCTCTCATCGATGTTTCTGATTCTCTATCCCTCTCCCTTCCTCTTTGTAAAAAATCAATAAAATATATTTTTAAAAAAAGAAAGAAAATACCTAGGCATTTAATCAAGGAAGTAAAAGATCTGTACATTGAAAATTATCAGACACTGGTGAAAGAAATTAGAGAAGACACAAATAAATGGAAACATATTTTTTTGTTAATCCTCACCAGAGCATATTTTTTCCATTGATTTTTAGAGAGAGTGGAAAGGGGGAGAGAAACATTGATGGGATAGAGACATATCGGTTGATTGCCTACCGCACACGCCTGACTGGTGCCAGGAATCAAATCTGAGATCCTTCAGTCTGCAGGCTAACATTCTAAACATTGAGCAAAACCAGCTAGGGAGGAAAGATATTCTGTGCTCATGGGTTGGAAGACAACATTAACATATCCATACTACCCAATGCATTCTACAGATTGAGTGCAATCCCTGTCAAAATTCCACTGGCATTTTTCACAGAAATAGAACAACCCTAAAATTTACATGGAACTACAAAAGATCCTGAATAGCCAAAGGGATCTTGAGAAAGAACAAAGCTGGAGACATCAAGCTCCCTGATTTCCAACTATATTACAAAGCGATTATAATTAAAACAGTATGGTACTGGCATAAAAACAGATACATATATCAATGGAACAGAATAGAAAGTCCAGAAATAAACCCACACATGTATGGTCAATTAACTTACATCAAAGAAGCCAACAATCATATCAAATAAAGGGAACATGCAAACTGACCATCACACGTCACAAAGATGGCAGCGCCCAGTCCCCTCAGCCCTGCCGGAGTCCCCCAGTCCTTTCAGCGCTGCTGGGGGGTGGCGGCAGGCACGCAATGCGGCCAGACCCACCCTCAGCTGCCCAGGGTGGGCCTGAGGCACAGACAAGCCTCAGATGGCGGCTGCCCAGCCGCCCAGGGCCGCCCGAGGCTCAGGTCACCAGGGCCGGCCAAGGCTTGTGCTGCCAGCAGTAGCAGCAGCAGAGGTGTGATGGGGGCGTCGCCTTCCCCTGATGGAAGGGTTGCCTCCCGCCCCTGAGGACTCCCGGACTGTGAGAGGGGGCAGGCCGGGCTGAGGGGACCCCCCCCCTCCAATGCATAAATTTTCATGCACCGGGCCTCTACTACACAATAAAGGACAGCCTCTTTCATAAATTGTGTTGACAAGGAAACTGGACCACTCTCTTATACCATACACCACAATAATTAACTCTCAATGGATTAATGACTTAAATGTAAGACCTGAAACCACAGAACTCCACAGGAAACATACACAGTTAAGCTCCTTGACATCTGTCTTGGTGAGTGATGATTTTTTTTTTTGTATTTGACACCAAAAGCAAAGGGCACAAAAGCAAAACTAAACATGTGGGACTACATCAAATTGAAAAGCTTCCACACAGCAAAGGAAACCATCAACAAAATAAAAAGGCATCCTACTGAGTGAGAGAAAATATTTACAAATCATGCATCATACAGTGTAAATATCCAAAACTGAGTTTAAAGAACTCATAGAACTCAATAGCAAAGAAAGCCAATCTGATTAAAAAATGAGAAGAGGGCCCTAACCGGTTTGGCTCAGTGGATAGAGCATCAGCCTGTGGACTCAAGGGTCCCAGGTTCAATTCCGGTCAAGGGCATGTACCTTGGTTGCGGGCACATCCCCAGTAGGGAGTGTGCAGGAGGCAGCTGATCGATGTTTCTCTCTCATCGATGTTTCTAACTCTCTATCCCTCTCCCTTCCTCTCTGTAAAAAATAAAATATATTTAAAAAGAAAAAATGAGAAGAGGATCTGAATAAGTATTTTTCCAAAGAAGACATACAGATGGCCAACAGGTACATGA